TTATAGATTTGAGCCACCACCCAGAATATTTATTTGATGACTATCAGTTCCTGGTGTTCCTCATTCCTAATTTCTAAACTGGTAAATCTAACTGACATCTTTCTCGATAAGTATCATCTCATTTAGCTTTATTTAATTTATTTAATTACTTATTTGTTTTTGTCTTCTACTGTGAAGAAATAGGAGATTTTCATAAGCAATACAAATATGGTTGTAAAAAGTTAACACACTGGGACTGGAGGTGTGCCTCAAGTGGTAGAGTGCCTGCTTTGCAAGCTCAAAGCCCTAAATTCAAACCCTACCCCAGGAAAAAAAAGTTAATATACTAACTGAGTTGGGGTGGAGACATCATGATGAACAATGAATTTCTCCCCAAACTTTATATGATTCAATGGTTTAATGAGTTACAATACTGAGAAGAGGTTCATTGGACAGATATTCCTATCATGCAGTGTACCCACTGACACATTGATATCTTTTCACATACAGATACATGTGTGACAACAAATACACTGATAGTGTATACAAGAACAGTCATTCCTTATACAGAGATGCGTCCTTGGTTAGTGGTGCCAGGAATACAATATGGTGGAAAGACAGTGTGCTTTTGATTCATTCACATGTGGGTTCGAATTCTAGCTCTCCATTTACCCACCAGTTGTGTGATTTTGGGCATATGGTGTAAGTTCTCTTGGTTTCTTTATCCCAATGGAGGTAATAATAATAAACCTATCTCACAGGTTTGTTGTGAGGATTAAATAATAATGTATGTAAAGAATTTATCCTTGGTTTTGTCACTGCTTGGGTAACTTTTCTAATCAAGGTCAAAGCATGGTTGGTACCCATTGTTCTCCTCACGGCTTTCTGACCCCAATTTATGGGCTCAAGGGATACCTAACTGGGGTATGAAGAAGCTCTCAAGGGAGGAGATGCTGTGCTGAATCTTGCAGGATATTAGTCAACTAGAGAAGGCATTTCAGACAGAGGGATGAATACAGTGTACATCCTGGAGACAGCACATTACCAGTTAGCAGAATAGGAACAGTTCAGGACAGTGGGAACATTCTAAAGGTGATAGGAGAGTTTTAAGGGAATCCGTGGAAGAGTTTTACACAGAGAAATGACACATTCAGTTTTTAGAAACTATTTTAGAAGCATTAAAACCATTCACCTAGGTATAGAGAACAGGGACATTGGGGAGGATGTCAAGGAGAGTGGTTGAAAGGCAATTACAGCACCCAGATGAGAAACTGTGAGGAATGAACCCACAGTAGAGGCAGTGGGGAACAAGACAGGGAAAAAGAGAAACGTTCAGGAGTTAATCTCACTCACAAGAACTGCAATATCTGCAACTGTTTCATGCATCAACTTAAAATTTTCTTTACACGAATGAATGTTATTTTCTTTTTTTTTTTTGATAATTTTAAAAATGAAGTAATTGATATGTTTTGCAATATTTACTAATGGTGATTTCTTATTAAGTAAACTTGATGTTGAGATAAGCCCCCCTCCCTGTGTGTGTGTGTGTGTGTGTGTGTGTGTGTGAAACTTGAAGAATTTGAAGAAGGAGATCTATTAGTCCCAGATCATAGGTACAGATGTAAAATAAAAATGAAGACAGTGAGGACCTCTTAAGTTTCTCTTTGGAGGTGGGCATAGAGTTCAGTAGTAGAACATTTGCTTAGCATGTGCAAGGCCCTAGATTCAATCCTCAACACTGCAAAAAAAAAAAAAAAAAAGAGCAGATTACAATTTTATGTGCCAGGCACCGGTAGCTCAGGAGGATTGTGGTTCAGAGCCAGCTCAGGCAAATAGTCCGAGAGACCCTATCTCAAAAAAAAAAAAAAATCACAAAAAAAGGGCCCATGGAGTGGCTCAGGGTGTAGGCTCTGAGTTCAAGCCCGAGTGCCACCAAAAAAAAAAAAATACAATTTTATGGGAGAGGTGGAGGCAAGTGTGAGAGTGGGATAGTGGCAGACACAAATGTTATAAAAACATCACCTGAACAATATTCTTACAAAAACAAAATACTTGTAGATTTAACTAATGTCCAAGAAATAAGAGCATTGAAGCAAATGTGAAATGACATAATTAGAATGCAATTGGCCAAGTTGAGAATGTGAAAAATTCCAAGGAATATTATGATCTGATTTCCTAAAAAAAATAAGCATCAAATAACAGAAAAAAGAGGGAAGGAAGAGAACATATTAAGAAAACATAAGTGAAAGGGAACTGTTATAAATGTAAAAGAAACTTATAGACATATTTATCAGTCAAATGCAAAGTGTGGAATTTGTTCAGATTTTGATTCAGATAAATGAACTGTAAAAGGCATTTTAGAATTGGGCATGGTGGTGTATGTAACCCCAGCACTTGGGAGGCTGAGGCAAGAGGATTGAGAGTTCAAGTCCAGCTTGGGTTACATAGTGAAACACTATTTCAAAAAAAAAAAATGTGTTTTGAAAATTACTAGGAAAAACTGAACATGAATTGATATTAAATGATACTAAGGAATTAAAAAGTCTCATAAAGGTATAAAAATAGTATGGTTATGTTATAATAAAAGTCTTTGCTAGAGATACATATTGAAATATGTGCAGGTGAAGTATGATGATTTATAAGAGGTTTACTTAAAAATACTCCCAAGGGACTTATGGGGAGGCTTTTGTGGGAAAAGAGGTGAAGTAAGAAAGATAAAGTGACTCATGACTGTAATCCTAGCTACTCTGGAGGCACAGATCAGGAAGATCGAGGTTCAACGTCAACTGGAGCAAATAGTTTGCAAGACCCTATCTTGAAAAATACCCAAGTTAAAAAGGGCTTGTGGAGCGGCTGTATGTGCTGAGGATTAAACTCAGAGCTTCCCACATGCCAAGTATGCCTTCTTACTGCTGGGTTACACCCCCAGGCCCTACAATAAAACATTTTTGCTGGAATTATTTCTTCTGTAATGGATCAAAATTGGAGGAGCACCTTATGTACTGGGTGGAGGAAAAGGGGCTTTGCCAGGAAAAGAAGGTAGAGGAAAAACTGGGCTTTGAGTGGTGTTGAAAAGCAAAGGAGGAACAGTTTCAAGATGGAAGGAGTGTCAGCTATGTCAAATACTGCAGATGACAGGAAGGAAAGGATTAAATGACTTCACTAGTTTTAACAATAAAGATCTCTCTTGACCTCAGTAAGACCAGTTTCAGTGGAGTTAGAACTATCCACAACTTTCCCAGAAGCTTGGCTGTTAAGGGGAAGAGAGAAGATGGTAACCTCTTCCTTCCCCAAGGAGAAACTAGGGCATGTTTTTTATGCTCAAAAAAGTTGCTGTTTGAGAGTAGCTGACAATATAGGCACAAGGAAGATTAATTGACTCATAGAGCAAGGACCTTTACTATAAAAAGGAGTGTTGGAACAAATCATATGTACATGGCACTGAAGCAGATAGCTTGTTTTTCTGATCTTTGGATAGTTTACTGAATTTTTTTTTTTTGGTATTGGGGTTTGAATTCAGGGCCTACACCTTGAGCCACTCCACCAGCCCTTTTTGTGTTAAGTGTTTTCAAGATGGGGGGGGGTTTCCTGAACTATTTGCCCGGGCTGGTTTTGAACCGCGATCCTCCTGATCTCTGCCTCCTGAGTAGCGCGGATTATAGTTATGAGCCCCCGGCGCCCAGCCCAAAGTAACTTTATAAAAAAATCAAAGAAAAGTTTTGCTCATAAAACTCACAAACAGATATATTTATCTCAACTGTTACATTGGTTGAGCAGCCACGATTTTTTTTTTTAATGACTGCACCTCAGGCACACTTTTCTTTCTTTTTTTGCCACAAAAAATAAGGTAAGTTCTATCTCTTCCCTTTAGTTTGCTGCTTTTGTTTCAAAAACGTCTCATCACTCAACCTACTAAATCCACAAAAACTTGTTAAGAAGTTGTCTCTTTTCTACCGTCACCAACACACAGGGTGACTTAGATCTGTATTTGCAAGTCTTACTACCGTTCCAAAAATGACTATTCCACAGAATCTCACAAGCTCAATTACATACGATTACACTGCCCAGTTTACCTCTGAATTCCACGGAGGAGTTGAACTAAGGTACGTAGGAATGGGATATTAGGGTAAACTTTCACATTGGCAGGACTGGTGGGAGGCTGATGCTTTGGAGGTGGAAAGAAGGAAGGTGGAGGAGTGCAGACAAGCTCGTCTTCCTCAGATTTCTGAAGTGAAATGAGTGCACCTGACGCCGCATAGGATAGGAACTCCTCGAGCTGTATTAAGGCACGGCTGGACAGAGGTTTAGGAATCGGGCAACCGAGGTACTCCACCCCGCGAAAGGATTTGCGCGCTCCCGTGAAGGCGCGCGCGCGTACGCACTCGTGTCTTGCGCAGGGTCGGGCCTGTCAGGCGGGAAATCTCGCGAGATCGGAGACTGGGATGACTGTCGGGAGGAGGGGAGTGGTGTCGGGGAAGGGGGGGCACCTGGGCAGCGGCCGGGCTCTGTGGCTTCAGGGCTCCGAGGGAGAAAGGGAGGGTGGCAAAGAGAGTGAGTCGGTGCCACTGCCTGCCTGAGGAGAGAGGAGGGGTCCCGCTCGCTCTGAGCCCTTTGCAGGCCAAGAGCGCTAAGCACTCGCGAATCTCTGAGGCCTCCCGGCCTCTGGGGACCCCGCCCCGCCGTCCGCCGGCCGGCCCGCGGCCTCTCTTCTCTTTGTGAGCGCCCCCTTCCCAGGGGTGGTGGTGGTGGCGGAAGGCTGAACGTGGGCCCGCCCGCCGGGGGGCCGCGGCGGGGGACCGATTGGGCCTCGGCTGTGTAAGGACCGGAGGCGGCCGAGGCCCCGGCCGGTTCCCCCGAGGCGGCAGCGGCGGCTCCCGGCACTTCCCCGCGCCATCTTAGCTGAGCCCGAGGGCTGAGGGCGCTTCCTCGACCCTGGTTGTCCCCTCGCCCCCCCCCCGCCCCTTGTCGCAGAGCTTGGGCTGGGCGGCTGGCTGGGGCTCTGGGGGGGGGGGCGGCGGTCTGTCGCCGGGCCCCCTCCTCCTCACTCCTCGTCGTCCTGCGTAGCGGCTACCGGAGCGTTACAGGGGGCTGCGCCTGCCTTCTCGGCCCCAGACCTGTCTGCCAAAGGGTAAGGGCACCTCTGCTTTAGGAAAGGGAGACATTGGAGGGGGGGCGGGGAGATTCGGCCCACTCAGGCTTCTGGGTGGAAGAAGGATGTGGGGGTGGGGTGGGGGAGGGAGACAAGGAGGGTCTGTGATTCAGTGGGTGGGGTGAAGAAGCTGGTGAGCAAGGGCGCTCTCCTGTTTCGAGGGGCAAGAGCAATTTACTCCTTTTTCCTGAGGGTCACCGGAAGGGGTGGTGGTAGGGGATGTTTCTGGGAAGGTGTGGCCCTGGGTTGATGTGCACCCCTATTTAAAGGCGCGAGCTACCTTTCCCTTTTGGTCCCTTTGCTCCTCCTGCTTCTCCTTTGTAGTGTCTGTGTATTCGTGGGAAGGGAGACTGCTCTGGGAGCCAGCTGGGTGAATTCCACCCCCAGCTCAGGAAATGTATATACCCATCTTCTGTCTGAATGATGGAAGCGTTTCTCTTTCCCTACCTTCCTCCCCTCCCCATCCTCTAGTCTACTGCAATGCTGCAGAAGTCCAAGGCAGTTACTTCATACACAGACCCATGTATACACTGAAGGGAGGGGGAGCTGGAGAGGGAAGTAATGGCGCTTCCCTTGGAAAGGTTACTCTTTCCTTTGGTTTTAAATCGGTAACAGTACTGTTTATAGTCTTCCTCTGAGATCTGTTCATGGGAACTGCTCCTGTTATTGTTGAGTGATATGAGCTATCAAAGGGATCCCTCTCATGTTACAGTTTTGATGTCTTTCTTGTTCTCTCTGAGAGAGAGAGAGAGAGAGAGAGGGGGGGGGAGAGAGAGAGAGAGAGAGAGAGAGAGAGAGAGAGAGATGTCTAGATTGGCTTTTTTTTTGTGTGTGTGAGCACATTGATCTTTCGTTAGGATTCAAATAGAATAATTTTATGTCCCCTCATTTCCCCCTTCTTTCTTTTTTTATGGCTTTTGTAGTTCTTGGATAATTATTAATTAGAGATTATTACATAAAGACAGGTTGTCTGATGCACATTTGCCCCTGGGGTGTGAATTTTTAAGGTTAATATTATTTTGTATGACACTGACATTGAAATTTTCTGAAAATAATTAGGTTCCAAACCTTTCTGTAGCAAATACTGTTTCTTAAGGAAGTGCAAGCTATGCTATGATAGCTATATATTCTGTAGTCGTTTTTTTCACTTTTTTGATTCATGTCATATAAATGTATGTATGTATATTTTTGGTGGTACTGGGGCTTGAACTCAGGGCCTCTTGCTAGAAAGGCGCTCTACCACTTAAGCCATTTCACAGCCCTTTTTTGGGAAGGGTTTTTTCGAGATAGGGTCTCAGGAACTTTGCTTCTGAATTGCAGCCCTCCTGATCTCTGCCTCCTGAGTAGCTAGAATTATAGGTAGGAGCCACTGTTGCCCAACTATGTCCTATTTGTTTTAAAAGAAGTGATCATATCTGGTTTGCAGTAGTACCTGTTGGTTTTGTCCTTAGTAGAGTAGAAATGAATAAAAATAACAATCTTAACATTCTGGAAGTGTGTTGCAAAGTGCTTTTTGATACCAAAAAGTAGTCTTCTAGTATTGAAGGAGTCTTAATTTGTTGTCAGTTTTTTTCTTTAAGTGTTTAGATTTACTGGTGAAGTGATTTAAAAATAAGACTATTAGTAGAATTAAATAATTTTTCATAAAGTGGTGCGGATGAAAATATATGACAGATACGAATTGTCTTGATAGTTTACTAACAAGTTGTATTTGGTGTTTAAACTTTATTTAATGAGTTATTTTAAAATAAATACCTCTGTTATATTGTCATTAAATGTATCTTAGAGCATTTGTGGTGTGTTGCATTTTGAGACTATTTGAATAAAGAAAGATGTTAGCAATAGTGCTAGGCATTAATTTAACTTCTGTCTTTTTTTTTTTTTTTTTTGGCAGTACTGGGGTTTGATCTCGGGCACACACTTGGTAGGCAGATACTCTACCATTTGAGCTGCTGTGCCAGCCCTTATTTTATTATTGAGATGCAATTTTATCATGCTTTCCTCATAAAATGGAACATTTTTTGCTTTCTTTATTCCCCTTTGATGTTCATCTGAACTCATTTAACAGCACTGTTCATTTGTATCTTTACTTCATGACACAAAGTTGCACATTGTGATGTGTAGAATTTTCACTTACATGCAAACTGTGGCACAAAGCCTAATTCTCTGTATTATGGTTTGTTGTTGATAATGAATTCATATATACTAGCATGTATAAATCCAAGCATACTGCTCAGTAAAGAGTGACTGCTTTTGTCTTGGAAAGATGCAGGAAGAGAGAATTTATCAATAAAGGTTACAAAACTTAGAATGCACACAAGGTGTATGTTGACTTCTTTCTTTATTTTAGCATAGAATAATTAAGGTCTACTTTTTAGGACAAGTAAAAAGAAACTTTTCTATAGCTGGTAGGAACTTTGCCTAAAAGTGGTAAAAATGTATTGATGATCAATTAGATAAATTCATTATTAAGGAAAAAATGCCTGAGGGTTATTTCAGTTGACCTCTGATGCCACTGTCAGAAGAGAATACTGAGAGCTATTAGCCTGGGTTGAGTCCAGATTAGTATGGTACTGCTTATGTTTCTAAATAGTTCGTCTTCAAAATGGCAGTGTACATCACTTCCTGTTCTTTCACAACTGGCTCTTTCTTTGGATTCCCTTTTAATGACTTAATTTTTGGCATTCTGATATCTGATTTGTTAATTTGGTTATAATTCTCAAGTTTTATACATGAAAGAATGTCTAAGAATAAACAGGTTTAGAGGCTTTTAATAGTTTTAAGATTATCTTGACAGTAACAACACATTGGTTCCAAACTGAAAGATAGTATCTCAGATTTAAATTCTGAATGCCTTTTTTTTTTTTTTTTTTGCTGTGCTGGAACTCAAACCTTGGGCTTTGCACCATGATAGGCAAATGTCTTTGCCATTGAGCCATATGGAAGGTTTAAAAAAAATCAGGAGTATACATATATACATGACCAAATACATGAGAGAACTGAATAAAATATAATTACTGAATTTTCTATAGTAGAGATATTTGGAGAATTGTGGATATGGAAATAACTGAATATGTATTAATACAAAATAAATATATCAAGGCATATATATGATAATTGATCCCATGTTTTGATATCATACCACAAATAAGAAAGAATTTATTTATTTATTTATTTTGGTGCTGGGGTATGAACTCAGGGCGACACTTAGTTTGCTTGGCAGGGCTCTACTGCTTGAGCCATGCCTGTAGCCCAAGAAAGAAATTGACTAGTTATAGGACAGCAAAAAGACTGGATGCTGTTAACTAACCTTAAGTGTAAAATTTAAGAATTTGCTGGTACTTAATAGATAGGAGTACTTAGTAAACACACAAGTTATCTATAGGCCTGTTAGCATTAGAATTAGAGTTGGGATTAATCTGTTCTTCATAATACCTGGAAATAATTCTGTCTTCACATTTGGCTGATTTGTGTATTAAAATCAGTTAATTTCTTATGTGTATTTCTTTGGTTATCAGTAGTCTATTATAACAACTAATTGCAGTTGTACTAATTTTAACATTTTAGAAATTAGGAGTTTTTTTGGTACATATTAGTTAAGGGCACCTATGAGTTCAAGATCATATGAATGAAACTCTTCTAAAAAATAGTCAAGTCTTACATAAAATTGAAATTGTCCCTTTAAACAGAGTGCCAGCATATGTTCATCTGCCTTTTAGGTTTCTGAACTTGTTAATGGCTAGGTTTTTCTTTTAATTCTTCAAGATTTCCTATTATAAAATGTGAGAATATAAAATCTGTATTGTTTCAGTCCATTATATACCATTGTTAAGTTAAGGTATTTGCATTTTTAATGATAAAAATTGATGTACTTCTTTAAATATGTCTCAAATCCACATGAATTAAAAAAAATCATGTTGTGGAAACTAGAAACAATGATTTCCAGTTGAGATGTTTCTGTCATCATTGGTAACAATTATTTCTGTTTCTATACCAGTCTCTTCCATTTGTGCTAGAAGGAGATTTTTTTCTTTCTGAAACACATTTAATAGCTGTATCTTCTTACTTAGTGACAACATTAATTGGGCCACAAAAGGTAGAAAATTTTCAAAATGTTAAAGTACCTGGCCTATAAATAGAATAAGGAAAAGTATAGGTTATTAAGTACCTTGTGTAACAGATATACCAGCCTGCTAAAAATGCTAATATCATACTCAGGAGGCTAAGGCAGGAGGGTCACTTGGAGCACAAAGTCAGCCTAGACAATGTAGCAAGACTCCATTTTAAAACATAAAACAAAATAAAAAACAGGGCTGGTGGAGTGGCTCAAGTGGTATTAGCACTTGTCTAGCAAGTGTGAAGCCCTGAGTTCGAACCCACGTACCACCAAACAAAACAAAACAACAATGAACAAAAACCCCTAAGACTTATGGAATAGCTCAAGTGGTAGAGCGCCTGCCTAGCAAGTTTGAGGCCTTGAGTTTAAACTCCAGTACTGTTCCATCCTAATTTGCAGACATTAATAATAACAAAACTGGGATTTTTTTTTGTTTGTTTGTTTGTTTTGGTGCCGGGGTTTGAACTTAGTCTCTAGCTTGCTAGTCAGCTGCTCACTTGAGTTATGCTCCCAGCCCCTTTTGCTTTCAGATATTTTTCCAATAGGGTCTTTAATTTATGCCCAGAGTGGCCTGGACCATGGTGGTCTTTTTATACTTCCTGAATAGCTAGGATAACAGGCACACTCTACCACATCCAGCTTTTATTGGGTGAGATGGGGTCTTGCAAACATTTTGCCCAGGTTTACCTTGAACTTTGGTCTTCCTGGTCTCTGCCTCCTGAGTAGCTAGGATTGCAGTGTTGTCTTTTTTTTTTTTTTTTTTTTTGGTGGTACTTTGGTTTGAACTCAGGACATCAGACCTATCTTTTGGTTTTTTGATATAGGGTCTCACTGTGTAGTTTTATTCTTCATGCAGTAGCTG